TTAATCTTATAGTTTGTGTGGATTTATTTGCTCATCTAACCTACATGCTATATTGAATAAATGCAGGAATTTCCCTCATTATAAAGTTTAAAGCTGCGGGAATGTGTAAAACTATGCGATATAGCTACACACAATCCCCCACCGACATTTAGGACCTGATTAAATAACTCTATTATACAGAGATTTGTAAAATAAAATTCCACAATTTTTTCAAAACTTTTTCAAGCCTGTAAATTGCTGTTTCCAGGTTATTCAGGACCACACGGACCCTAAAAGCAACTGATGCACGTTTTTAATCACTTAAACTTGTCCACGAATGTGATTGCGCGAATGCTCCGTTACCTTTCCCTCCTGTAATCACGTGCCGGATCCGTTACCCCGCTTTGTTCCGGGATAGGCATGGGCCGATTACCAGTTTCAAGGTATACCGCGATTTGAAATGTCACGGTTTCAAAACCGCTAATATTTTCCGTTATACCGTTCCTGCGGTATGTGCTATTTTTCATGTCTCCTCAAAGACTGAAAGTGTAGGAATCCCTCAGTGCAGTGTAGAGAGTAACACGACCCTCCTCCTCCTGTTGGTGCGAGCGAGCGGTCAGTCACGTGTGTGTAGGACAGCCGAAGGTCAAGGAGCTTCCTCCAAAACTTATGTGATCAGCAACCGGCCGTTTATTGTTTTATTGCAGCCGATCTCTGTTCTGGACTTGCACAAACTGCGTTGCAATGCATATCATTTTCCAAATGTCATTAGCTGTAACAACAATACCGTGATACCGTGAAACCATGATATTTTTGCTTAAGGTTATCATACCGTCAAAATCTCATACCGGCCCATGCCTATTCCGGGACCTCGCAATTTACAAATTAAGCACTGATTATAACCCTTCTGACCCACGACTGTCCAAATAATGGCGGCTGGCAACCTGGAGTGGTCAAAAGAGCTGTTCCTATTTTTATTTTCAATATATATAGTGGCCACAGTATCTGGGCATTCAAGTCACACTTACAAATATTTGATTGTGAATGTCACTGCATTAGATAATATTTATTATTATTGTTGTTTTTATTATTATTATTATTATTCTAATATTGAAAGCATATTGATTTTTAAGGTGTACTTTATTTAAAAGATAGATAGCACAAGAACACGTCAATGAACAGTTCACCCAAAAATGAAAATTTGCTAGAAACACACGTTTGTTTTTCTATTATGGTGGGAACTTTCCTTTGACTTCTATTGTTCACGTACTGAGTTTCTTACAAACACGCAGCTTTTCACTTCACAAGATGTAAATTGATGGACTGGAGTCGTGTGGATTACTGTGATGTTTTTATCAGCTGTTTGGACTCTCATTCTGACGGCACCCATTCACCGCAGAGGATCCATTGGTGAGAAGTGATGTAATGCTACATTTCTTCAAATCTGTTCCCATGATGAAACAAACTCATCTGCATCTTAGGTGGCCTGAGGGTGAGTAAATTTGTAGCAAATTTTCATTTTTGGGTGAATATTCTGAACTGACTTTACACTGTATTGTATATCCACTTAAAAATGACCAAAGCACCAGCTGATTAAATGTCATTGAGCAAAAATTATGACAAAAAGTTATGAAAGAAAAAAATATTTTTCAGCATTTGAATACAGATATAGAGACTTTATTTTATAACTTAATATCTAATGCAATGACATTCAGACATTCTGAGTCCATAATCTGCCTACTTTTGAGACTGCTGCTGTAGGAGACCCCAGCTGCTTTCTGAAACTGTTCTGTGATCTGCTCCTGAACTCTAAAGCTCTGTGATTTACCAAAGAAATCCAGCCAGTCTGAGCGCTGGAACACAAAGGTGGTCTTGTGACTGACAGAGATCAAAGGTGAAAATACATCTGACGCTGTTGTGTGCTAAGCTGATGGATTTCACATGTTCAATATTCACCTCTAAACAATAACAGAGCATTTAAAGGGATAGTTCACCCAAAAATAAAAACAGCCATCATTTACTCATTCTGATGTCAAATCTTTTTTCCATGAAACACAAAAGGAGATATTTTGTATGGAAAGGAACACCATAAACAATGAAAGCACATGGCGACTACATAGTGCTCAAAAACCTTGTGCACTTAATTCCAAATCTTCTGCTGTTATATAACAGCTTTGTGACAGGAACAGACTGAAATAGTGTTATAAACTATAAAAACCTTACCCTCCACAGCAGCTCCCAAATCTCATTCAAACCTCAATTTTTAAACCTGGTATGTCATGTTCAGTTAAGATATATTTTACATTTAATAACACAAGACATTATAAAAACACAGGAATTAACTCTATAAAGCCTACTGTTTCATATTCGATACACAATTATCTAAGGCCTCTAAATAATCAACATGATCAAAACTTTGCTAAAAATAAACCTGTTGAACACAATCTACTACATGCCTTCTGTGTTTTGATCATAAAACTAAGCTTTTAAATATGATCTTACAAAGACATATTATTTGGAGAAATAGAGTGACGACTGATATTTATATAATTTTATGTAAATAGTCTGCTATACTGTTATAAATATCTCATTGATTTACATTACAAGCTGTCAGAATTTCATCTTACTTGTGCTTGTAAATATCAGCATCTGCACCAAACGGTGTATTCAGTTTGGGCCTCAACATTTTTTAAATCTTTTCCTCCTCGAGTATGAGCTTCATATTCTCATATCTCTTTCTGGTACATGAGCTATACATAAGCCATAATAGCCACCAAAAAACACATCTGTAAACTTTTTTTAAGATTTTCTTTATATATATATATATATTTTGTCTAAAGTTTTAATGAACAGCTCTACTTCAAAATATGAGGTTTTCTGTCTATTATTTCATATGTCAGGCATATGTCAGACATATGTTAAATTTAACATGTTTGAAATAGCTGAAAACAGGACAACAAAGAGACACAAATGAGATTTGAGAGCTGCGCAGGAGGGCAAATAAAACCTATCCCATTGCCTTCAGTGAGTTTGGAGTTTCAAGGTACTTTTTTCCTCTCATTTTTGGAGCTTGATTTTATGGATTAGAAAAGATCAGCTGAACATTCTTCAAAACATCTCTATTTGTGTTCTACAAAAGAAAGACAGCTGGACTCCCAAAGCTTTTGATATTCTTCATATTCTGTGCGGTGATTTGTTTGCAGGAGTAACAGAAATTCACTTTTAAAATTCACTTTTAAAGTGATTCAAGTTTAAACTGATTTTTTTCTTTATAAGGCCATTTTTTCTAACCTAATTAAATGTATGCATCATTTTTTTGTGTCAAATTCTTAAATTGAATCAATAAATTTAAATAGTAAGACACTATACCAATATGTTACCAATCAAATTAAATCAGTATCAACAAAATGTGTGTTTGCAGTGCAGAGGTGGCACAGCATCTGCATCTGAAGTGGCATTTAGATGCATTTACAAAGACTGTTTAAAGGTGCAGTAAGCGATTTCTGAGAAAAGCTGTTGAAAGTGGATCAGACCGAGCACCAAAACACACTTGTAGCCAATCACCAGTAAGGGGCGTGTCCATTAGTGATGGGGGAGGTGCCTGTGTTGAATAGAATGTTCAGAAATTTGGGGGCGGAGGCAAGATAGGGGTGTGATTCTTTTGGGTAGGGGCATGATTGTTTTGGTGATTTCAAATATCAACAGCATTTCTCAGAAATCGCTTACTGCACCTTTAATGCAGGAAATTAATGCATTTAACCTGCAGTTACAAATTCATAAATAATGTTTTGATGATTTACAAACAAAACGTTCAATAGTGATATTTGAAATTATTTTGAGAAAAAAAAAGGGAAAAAATACTTTAAATATAAACCTAAAATCGCCAGTAGGTTGCGGCAAATCTATGCATAAGTGAGTCATTGAGTCATTCATTCAACTGATTCGTTCAATGCCTGATTGATTCAGTAACGAAACACGGTTGTGTGTTGCTCAGAGACACAAAACAGTTCTGCTGTGGCTTTGTTTGAAACTATTTTCCTTGACGAAATAGAGCAAAAACAGGAACTTGAGTCTAAAAGTCAATTAATATTAATTTCTTGTTTATTGGACTGTTTTATAAAATCAACATCACATTTGTAATCATACTGATATTTGGAGAAAAAAAAACTGTACTCTTTGTATGATATTAACTATATCAGACGATATAAATATAAAATACATATAAAAGTCATACGAGGCATATTTGCCCCCTTATCTTGAATTTTGGGGGAATTCTAAATGTATTTTAATAGACTCATGAACTCATGCAGTGAAAGCGTGAACTCTAAATGTGCTCGTGCAGTAGTCTAACCTGCATCATGTAGTGTATGCATGCACTCTCTGAGTGTGTCCATGTTTGGTTTTTGCGATATACTTGATAATCTCAAATTGCTTATTGTTTAAACAACAATTAAGATATTATCATTGATGATATATATCACACATGTCCTAGAGTTTCAAACAGGGAAGAAAGCAGGCAAAGATTTCATCATCAGCCAAGACAAACACTTTTGTGTTTTTCAGTGTAGCATCATTGCGACAGAGGAGACTGACGGATCCCATCATCCCTCTCTCTCTTTGGCAAGCTGACACACTTCACACCCTCTTTGGCCTATTCAAATGATCGCCATGAATGAAAGATTTTAACATGAAACATGTACCTTCAGAGAGCGGAGCTACAGATGGCGGATCTGTAAGACGCTTCGGTCAGTAACAAATGATTTTCCTCACCATCAGAACAACCAGACAGGAATTTCACAGCAATCACTGATCAAACAAGTACTAGTTATGAGTCACACCATAGATGCTCATAGGGTGCCGATTTCACTGGATAACTATTTCCTGTTTACTCACTGATGTCACAGGCTAACACACTGTATTCACAAATCAAAAAATAACAGTTCAAAGGGTAAAAACAGAATGGTTTTAGTCCACTAGAACCAGTCGGGGTCTCCATGCATCCTGCTAGCAGGACTACTCACCTTCTTTAAGGGCTTTATCCACATTGAGAGACACCACAACCCTCCTGGTCTGGGCTGAATCCAGCAGAGGTACACAGAACCGGCCCTACGGAGTGAGGAAGACAATCATTAAACAATAAATCACTCATGACAACTTAACACAACACTCATTATGTAGAAAAGCAATTAAAAGACCCAGCTGAGGGACATTTTTTGCACCAGTTACAAGGGTTACAAGTCCTGCATTGATCCTACGCGGAATATATAGTACAAGTCTATTCTGGATCCAAAAGCAGTACTATTATCAGGTTGAGATTAACAACACAATCACAACAAAAAGCAACATAATACCAAAAGAACCAGGCAATAAAGTCTGGCTGATTTGTAAAAACTGGAATTGTCTATGTATATGCCAATAAATTGCGTGATTTTTACTTTTGTGTATATTGATAGTCCAATATTTACCTTCTTGTTTTGTTTACAGTGTGAGTGAATCTCACTAAACCTGGCTATTTGTGTCATTTTATAAATATTTTCACTTAAATTAAATATACATATATTTAATATTAAATATATATTAAAGATTTTGTATTTCTTTTTTAATTTATTATATTTAAATTTACCTCAAAATCATAAGAAAAATAAGCTTGTCTGTGCAGAGATGGATGAAGAAGAAAAATAAGTTTTATTTATATAGTGCCTTTCCATAGCTCAAGGTCACTTTACCTTAGGAGTAATACGTGTATAGGACGGATGGAGACAATATAATAATAATATTTAATATAATTTAAAGTTAAATACATAAATGTGATATTTTATTTATTTTTTAATTTATTATATTTAAATTTACCTCAAAATCATAAGAAAAATAAGCTTGTCTGTGCAGAGATGGATGGATGGATGGATGGAGACAATATAATAATAACAATATTTAATATAATTTAAAGTTAAATGCATAAATGTGATATTTTATTTATTGTTTTATATATATATATATATATATATATATATATATATTGTATATATATATATTTTTTTTTTTTACTGAATCCTTCTTCAGAAGTACATTGCATTTGTGATCATATTTTCAAATATTCAAATTTTCAGTCCACCAATAACACTATGGAAACCAGCAATATAGTAATGCCCACTTTGACCAATACAGCAACCAGCAGAAATTTAATTGACTAAAAATGAAATTACTTTGAGATGTAAACAAAAGATCTAAAATCATAAGGTAAATAAATATAATAAGATAAAAAGAATATAAATGTACATATAAATATAAAATACTATAGATAGATAGATAGATAGATCTATTAATCGATTGCTATCTAGATGTCAGTCTATCTGTCTGTCTACCCATCATCCATCCATGCAGCTTCCTATAGAAGCATGCCATCAGACAGTCATATTCTTTGAAACAATCACAGTGACAGTGCAAATTATTGTTTGAGTGTATTTGTGTAGATGTTGCCTTACCATTAACTTATTGAATAAATCCACGAGCTTCGATGACTCTCTCCTAGTGGTGTCAAATCTGCTGATCTTCAGGGGGCTTCTCTTCACCAGCAGCCCAAGACACCCCAGCATGAAACAGAACAACGCGAAGGACATATAAATAAAGAGTTTGAGGAAAAACGAGGTGAGAGTGAGTCCTCCAGAGCCGAGCTGGACGACCAGCACCGCCGCCGCGATGCCGAGGACCAGAGACGGGTAGACGGCGCTGCTGGGCATGAGGACATCCGACCTGCTGGTGATGATGCTGCGGCTTCGGCCATCAGGATGCATGCTGCTGCTGCTGGAAATGACATGTCCTCACGTGCGCACAACTCAAGCTCACAGCCCAGATTTCACTCATCACAATGTGTGCGTTGAATTCATAGGGGGGACACAGATGAGCCGGGCTTCTGAGCCACTTTATACAAGAAATGCACATGCAACTGTTGCATCCGAGCAGTTCAATGACAACAGAGCACTTGAGATGATGATCAGCCAGATAACCTGACTGGCTCTAGGACAGCTTAAATGGCTGCTAATTCAAATCCTCCGCAAATGCATAAGGAACATCAAGTGCACTCAAAGCACGTCAAGTTAAAGAAAACAAACCAAATGTCCACGTAAGCTCATCCAAATATATCAAAACATCTCGAAACGCGTTCAGGTCCATTGACGCCAATACAAACAACGGAGACGCATCACGCGATGATTTCAATTTTAAGCCTCAGACGCGAAACTAAGATGTAAATACTAAGTGTTCACTCCCAGGTATGTTCATTATCCACCGCAACTGATCCAAAATGTGACGAAAAAATGAAACGTATTATCAATCCGTCGCGGTGACAAGCGCTCTCAGTTCTGCTGAGATCCCCAGCTGTCTTTCGAGTGGCGAAGTTGCGAGTTCTACTATTGAAAAGGGATTGAATATGAATATTAACTACGCAACGTGACGTTTGCTCAATAGCCCAGATTGATTGGCCGAAAGGTAGACGTTGGCGCGTATGCGGTAGTCGGCTAGCGAATGAGCGAATGAGACTCGCCTCATGAATAATAATTGCTCACTTGACTAGAAGCTAGAGGAAGGTTACCAAGCAACGTCAGCATTATCTGATTAATATTCATAAGTCAAGTCTTTGTCGTAGTAGGAAAAGCTACACAGCGACTATGGAGCCTCGAGTAGGCCATTCATCACACACACACACACACACACACACACACACACATGCAG